TACATGGCCTCATCTGAATGCAAGGCTATTACTGAATTTCAATTAATAGATTTGGCGTTGAGTGAAATTACAGGTATTTACTACTCCAGATACATAAAAAACAGCAGATGTGATTAATTTGGGATAAGAAGGATAATTTACTTAAAAAACAAGTAAAGTTATGATAGAATTCAACAACAACAACAAAAGAATAGGACAGGAAAAGGATTTTTAGCTTTTTCTGTGGAAAACATAGTCATCCTAAAAGCTTTCATTTTACACAGAACAAGATGGTGGTGATAACTTTACAATCAGTAAGCCAATTCTTCTTTTAGGTGCTCTTCTGGCTCTGTAATATCCAACTCAATTTTATAAGCAAAAGTATTGTAGTTACTTCCCATATCTAAATTTAAATAAATTATAAAACCCAGGCATTGCAATTCTCTAGATAGCTACTTGCATTTCTAAATTGAGTCTGAGATGGGTTTGTTTCTCAGATAGTCTTCAACTGGCAACAAGCACCAAAGACACATCTCTTTGTAAGAGACATCCCGTATTTCATAAGAAAGTGTACAGCATTACATTTAGAAAAACAGCTCTAAAAGATCATTATTAGCACAATTTAACTGCAACAAAACCATCACAAAGCACTTAAGGCTTCCCGTAAATGAGCACCATTTTATTTATCCCATTCTGAATATAAGGATGAATTACTTCAGCCTGCATTATTAATATTACAAACATGAAGGAACGCTGTGGACCATACAGTATAAAGCATAGCAAAAACACATCAGCACTGTTTGGAAAATATGTATGTGCACACATGTATATGTGAATTCACACATATAATATGACACATTAGGTAGAATGCATTACATTTTGAAAGGTTTGCACATGATTGAGAAAAAGAAGCTGAAACTGTGTGTCCAAATAAATTGGAGATTCAATGGCTCCAGTGAAGGAAACAAGTCAATGGTGGACTGCATCCACATCTCCAGGCACAGAACAAATCTACCTTCTTAATTTTAGCTGTCATCTCACCTGCAGCCCTGTGAAAAGAGCAGAGGTTGGCACATATCTGGCACCTGTTTTAAACCTTGACATAGACATCTCAGAAATAACCCAAGGCAATTTGAATAGTGAGGAAGTTAGCATCCCCCTGAAAACTCCCTTTTGGTCATGTTTGTCAGGTGAGGATTTTAACCTTCAGCTCCAAAAATGCTAATCTGGCACACTGCATTGAGCATTAGACTGCAATAGTTGTCTTCATTCCTGTTAAAACTGAAAAAAAAAAAAAGACCTACAGCAAAACAACAAAACCCGAAGCCTCAACATCTCTCCTGAAGTTCAAAAGCATGAAAAAGTGTTCAGCATCACTCTGTCTCTTATAGTGGACTGGTTATTATGGGAAAGCTGAAACCCGTAGAGCTAAGCACATGGTATCCTTAGTAGTGCAGAATCTAAGGATTCTTCCAAACATTAATATCCCAGAGTGTAATATAAAGGTCAGCAATGCATTAGGTGGCAAATGCCTAAAAAAAATGCCTTGAGGCAAAACAAGAATACACTTGCCACAAAACATGGGTGTCCAAATTAGCACAATACAGGATCAGGCTTTTGTTTGCTCCCCGTCTACAGCTCAGTAGATCTTGTGTTAAATATTTCACTCACAGAACATTAAATTTTTTCAGATTGCAAGAAGGTAGGTGATGGGGATTTGAATTTACATGAAAAAAAATCATTTGAACACAGGTTTCTTACATCACAAATGAGTGCTTTTACTCAGAGCCCTGTAAGGCTGCTGCTTTAGCCATTTCAGAATAAACCACTGCTGTTGCTGCCACCTTTCCTTCAGTGCCCTGCCTGGGAAGCATTTCAGCTTGACCTGCTGAAACTTCCTCAGTTAGGTTAGGCATCTCAGGAACAATTTACAAGCGAGTGGTTTTGGATTTGGGTATCTACTCTCTGGTGAAATCCACTACAGGCACTTCAAATCTCATCGAAATTTGTCTTATTGCACAGCTGAATTCTGAAGCAAAGATGTATGTTAAAAAAAATAATCAGTAACAGGTTTTTATTCTTCTCTTATCATCGAACTTATTATCAGTGCTTGTCCTGCTTAAGGAGACAGGAACTTCTCCCTTAACCAGGCCAAAGAGACCATAAAAATGACTTGGAAAGCTGAAGCTAACCTGTGACCCAGCAGAATGCAGGACATGGGCAGTGCTCACTTATGCTCCCACAGGAAATCTGTAGCATGCTTTCTAACACACACAGTCAAGCTTGACTTCCATGCAAAATATAACCCCAAAATCAGCTAGAGGAGATACACAGTGTCAGCCTTCCGAGTGCTAACTCCATGATGAAAAGATTTGTGCAAAACCAGAGACCAGAGTTCAGTGTCCTCCTCCAAACTTTATGGGAAGCAACCTTCAGATGGAAAACAGAAGAACACTTCCCTGTTTCTCTAACTTCTCCTGGTTATTGGATAACAAAGTCCTTACCTTCTTCTGATCCAATAAATATCAAAATAAAAAATAAAAAAAAAAATAAAAAATGGGGTAACTTAAGTGCAACTGGTAGACCTATGTCAGAAAGGCTGGAGAATACAGAGCTTCATAACTCCACACTACTGATCACAACAGAGCTTCTGGAAGAAAGAGATGAGTGAACATGTTTTGACTAGATCAGGTGCAAAAGGGAACTGAAACCAATCTCTCCTTTCTGCCATGCCTGGTTTATTTCAAGAAAAAGCGGATAAGAGAGTAAAATCTGTTTGCTTGTGCGTGGGAGTGTATAGACAAGTGTAATATGCCATCCAATAGCCATGTTTTAAAAGAAAATGACAAGCCATTCTCAGTTCTTCCAAAAAAAAATCGCTTCTTCTCGTGAGGTTCATTGCAGGGCGTTCAAGCTGACACTGACCTGCAAAATGTCAAGCGAAACTATAGCTAAGTTTTGCCTATGTGTCTTATCTGCCTCAGACAACAGGTATAAGCATTTCTTTGCCTCAGAGATGTTACTTCAGGCAGTGGTATTTTGGATTGCATTCACTCCTAAGTCTCCCTGGGCAATGGATAAAGGGCTTAAATGTCTACCTCAGGACTCAGGGTTCCTCTGAAAAGGCAAGTACTTCCGGGTCTGATGCACCGCCCAAGCTCTTAATTGGATCCAACCCTGTAATTTTTTCCATAATAGGATGACCCAGCAGGATTATTTACAGCACAGCATGAAAGCAAATGCCAAAGTGAAAATGCAGCAGTACGAAGTTGCTGTATTGATTGTATAAATTGCCTCATTCAACAGCCTCAGGCCGACTATAAATATTTCAGTGTTGTACATCTCTTCTGTTTCACATCTAATGTGTTTCTTGAGTAAACAAGTGATGCATGGAAAAGCCTCCCTAGCTTATAAATCAAATAAGACATGGGTTCCCAAAGAAAGCTCAGCAGCAGAGATTTTAAAATGAACTGAGGTATAATGGAAGACTCATACAAAACACCTTCAAAATAATTCTGTAATGAGTTTATTACACTGAATTTAAAGCCTGATGGGTTTATTACATTGAATTTAAAGGAGGTGTTTTTTTTTAAATATAATGCCACCAGTAAAGGAAAAAAAAAAAAAACAACCAAAAAAAGTTACTGAAAATCCTGTGATACTGAAAGAAAATGAAGCTTCCAAATGGCAGTGTTCAGACAGCACTGGGATTTTGTTGTTTTAGTACTCTGCCCAAACAATCAACAACAGGTTCCAGAAAAGCTGTGGCAAAGTGCTGCTGGATGTTCCAGCATGTCTCTCTATCACTTTTAATATTGTGCAATGGTATCACATAGTTTTGAAAGCTAATTACTAGCAAGGACCTCTTTCACATATTGTGATTGGGGTAACAAGCAGGTGCCCATTCTAACAGCTCACTGGAGGAACAAAGTCTTGCCTAGTATACAGGCAAGACGTGTATAACATGCTATCCATGTGTGTGTATCAGCTGTGAGAGTGTCTCTGCAACGTGTGGAACTACTGGGCAGTGTGACCGTAAGACAAAGCGCAACCTGGAGAAACTTACCAGGAGCAAAACATTTTAAACAAACCTCTGTTTAAGGTTGATTTGTGAGAGATGATGAGAGCACAGATTATACATCCCAATATTCAGAAACCATTTCTGGAAATGCTTAACTTAAAGATTTCTGTCTACCTCTGTCCACAGAATGGGCCTGACAATACTTACAGAAAATCTTAAACCTTGTAGTCAAAAGCACACTATATAACCACCAGGTATTATCATGGGCATGTTTGAAGCTGGTTTTACACTGTGTGAATAGCAGATTACACACTGTCAAAAAAACCCCACAAAACCTTCCCGAAGGCGACATTCAACCCTGTCAGGAAAAGAAAGATGCTAGCTTCCTGCCACCTACAGGTGGAACACTAAAATCCTCATGGTCTATCAGCTATCTACAGCTCAGGCTCTAGGATTTGGAAAACAAATTGCCCCAGAACTGACATAAACCAGCACTGGGATTCCAAACTTTGTGAAACTCATGGGATATTTTCTGATTTTATTTTAAATGGTTTGGGGTTTATAATCAGTCCACTTAACAAGGCTTTGTTTGGTTGTTTTTTTTATGAACAACACCTGAAAGGTCTCTTCTCCTGCCCCCCCCCCCCCCCCCCATCCCACACCATGCTTCTGCTAATAATCACAGATTAACAAACAGCTTGCCAATTAACCCTGAAAAGGTAGCCATCAATTTGGTAGCACTGCATGTAATCCAAGAAGTAGGGAGAATTTATTTAGGTTCAGACAATTAGCAAGGGGCTGGCAGTGCTAACGACTGCCTAAAAGCTGTGCTCCACAATGGCTGAGATAAATAATTTCATTAATTAAAACACCTGATTTGATAACTGTAACTATATTTAAAGGTAGCAAACAAGCTTTACTTGTTAAGGACTAGAACAGAAAACTTGTGGGAGGAGAGAGGCTTGTGGGGATTTTCTGGGAAGTTTCTGTGTCCTGTGTTTGGGGATTTTTAAGCTGCTGGAGTTTGTTCAGTTCTATTCTGCCATTAACTGAATCTAAAAATTTAGACTTGGCTTAGAGTGAGATATAAAATGACTTTCCTTCCAAAGTGGTTAATTTTTCTAAAAGGCAAAGAGGTTGTTATTGCTAATGCTATAATTGCAATAGTAACAATTGGTGGGCAGCAGCTTTTCTCTTTTTTTACATTCAGCTGTCCCTGTCACGTTGGGCAGAACCTTATCTATGGGCTGGCTTTCCTTGGAGTTCCTGCACTTATTCTTCTGATTGTTGGCTATGCGCTGAATAACCAGACTTGGAGGCTGGTTACAGGCAAAAGGTCTCTTGAGGGACAGACTACACCAAACCAATCACTGCAATGCAAACTGGTCTGCTTTGTCTTATGCAGCATCACTGGGAGAGCACTGGTTGCTCCAGTAACCTGGCTGGCAGTCACCCTGATAAATGGTTCATATTATGTGTGTGCTGTAAGTGAGTATGTCCCTGTGCATTATTATGAAGCTAATCCTAATATTACTGCCAGTGAACGTAGTAGGATACTGGCTGCATTTCCATGTAGTCAGTTAGTTCCTCCAGAACTAACTCGGGCAAGAGATGAAGTTATTCTCCTTCTCCGATACCAGTCACAAGTGAGTAACTCATGTTGTTTCTATCTCTCATGATGAGAACTAGAGTTAATCCAGCAAAGTGTTGAAATAAAATAGGATTAGTATCCTCTGGAGTGCTAAATCTGTGTTTTGAAGCCTGTTTTGCTCCTGTAAGTGGAACTGAACTTTAGGTATCTAAATTACTATATTTGTTTGTGCTGGTTGTTATCTGCTACTGGAGGATATATTTTTTTTTTGCATAGTATCTTGAAAAGTATGATTAAGTAAGACAAATACAAGTTCAAAAGCCAGGGAGAATATGAAGTTTCTTATTCAAGGATAAGAAACACATGAGTAAGGTGCCTGCAAGAGCTCCACATAAACCAAGCTAAAATCTTTGTTTTGAAATCAGGCTTAAGTCTAAAAGCTTATGTACTGGGTAAATTGGGGAACATTAATTTGTCACTTCAGATAAAACTGGTTTCAAATCCGCTGTAAGCTAACATAGGCTAGGAATTACATGGCTTTTCTTCTTACAGGACTAGCTGTGGAGGCAAAATCCTTAACGAAATGTATAACAGAACTTCCTTAAACTCGACAGAAAGTGACTTTTTACCACATGGTTACCTCCAGTAGTAAGGGACTGGGTTTGAGGGCAGCAGACCCTTACCAGGCTTCTGTGTTGTTAACCTGATTCAGAAAAAAAAACAGTAAAGATCATCTTACGGATTTCCTGATTCTCAGAATTTACCACTGAGTATTTTCAGCTGTAACAGATTCCTTCTTTTTCTTTGTAAGGTGGCTGGCTGGCTTCTGATTGCTGTGGTAGTCATCACTGTCTTCCTGTCTTACTGCCTGGCAAGCTGCTTCTCCCCACTCAGCTTTCTACATTTCAGATACTGGAGCAGCTATGTCCACAATGAGCAGGAGCTCTTTGACGAAGCAACAGACCAGCACTCCAGGCTCTATGCCATGAAGCATGTAAGGAAGTTCTTTGGCTTTGCCCCAGGAAGTGAAAATGTAAAGGAAATCCGTATTCCATCTCTCAAGGAGTGGCAAGCCATTTCTGGACTGGCCTTTCTGAAACGAGTGGATGCAGAGCACTATGACTACAGTCTTCTCCACGACTGGGCACTCAAGGGGTCTGCAAATGGGAAATACTTGAAGACTGATGAAGACCCTGTGATCAGAACACAGGTCTGAGGGCCACACTCCCACCAACACCTTGCAGATAAGCAGGATATCAGCCTGATCTGGAACTTTCCAATGCCTTATTGCATTGATATGTACAGTATGTGAACAAGTACATCTTGTTATTTTAGTCCTTTAGCACATGCTTACAGATACTTTTCCTGATGGTGCCTGACTCCTGTGGGTCTGATAGTTTATGTCTAGATTAGGGTGGCCTGTTTAAAGCTGCAGCTCCCTCCTTCTAATATTTGTGCTAAAAGGATGTGTACATACTAGGAGAGAAAGTCATTCCCAAATGCTTTTCCTTTCCTACCATTAAAAAAAAAATTAAAAATAGCTAGGCCCTGATTGAATCCTAGGAGACAGTCCATTCTGTGCAGAACAAAAGCAGATATTCAGCTTTGTCTTGGTGCCCCCTAGCAGAAATGCCTTATTTTTTCTCTTCTGCATTTTTCTTGTAGTGTGTGAATATACTGAGCTAACCACAAGTAAAGCTTGTGTCTACAGCAGCACAGAAGCAGGGGAAGCTTCAGCAATGAAGACTAAGTGTAGATACAGCGTTAAGTGAACTCCCAGTTCTGGTCAGGAGATAAAATGCCCACTGAGAAGCGCAGGATGAAGGAGTGTGATATATATCAGCTGTATGAACACTTACATGTGGAAAATAAAAGTTCAAATCTATTTCAGCTGAAAGCAGTAATAAGGTCAGTCTCCTATTCCTTCTAGATAGACTTGAAAACCTCTTTGGTACTTGTATACTTGCTCACTATACTAATAGCTAATCTGGATGGGATACAAATCTCATTCTCTGTGCAAGGTCTGCTTTGCCTGTGAAAAACTTGCAATTTAGTCATGCTACTGTGATTAAAATCTACTGAATTTAGTGAGAGAAGGTTTCATGATGTTCTGTTAATTCAGTATGGTATGATGTCATATTACTGCCTCTCATCTCCTTTCTAACTCCCTGTGCAGCTGTTTTGAACTCTAAGGGTGGAGGGGGGAAGGTGGAATCCATACACGGACTTTTTCCTCATGCTTCCTGTGTTGCCTTGCTATGTGCATATGTACATGTGTGTGACAAAACCATATGCTAGACTGTATGATGCTATCTGCTGTTAATAAATGACCACAGAGTACTCAAGTGGAAAAATACAATTATTTACTACATCTTAGTAGGAAATGAAAGAGCCTTGTTAAATTGTAGATCTTGGTGAATGTGTTTAGTCATGAAGAATTAAACTTCTAAACAAAAACACTCTAGCAATTGCAAATGATGTATGTACTGAATAATGAGAATGATGCTATTTTACATCACTAAAATTGTTACAAATACTCACATAAGTATTTCATGTGAATCCTAAACTTTCATGTATGTGGTGGGTTGATCCTGGCTGCCCACCAAAGCTGCTCTATCACTACCCTCCTCAGCTGGACAGGGGAGAGAGAATATAAACCACAAAAGGTATGTGGATTGAGATAAGGACAGGGAGGTATTGCTGATGACTGCTGTGGGCAAAACAGATTCAACTTAGGGAAGTAAGCTTTATTACCAATCAAATCAAGTAGGATGACAAGTAAGTCTTAAAACCCTTTTCCCTCCACCCCCCCCTTTCCAAATTCTCTATCTCCTCCCTCCCAGAAGCACAGGGGGATGGAGAACAGGAGTTGGGATCAGTTCATCACATGTTATCTCTGCCACTCCTTCCTTCTCAGGGTGAAAACTACTCACACTATTCCTCTTCTCCAGTGGGGCATTCCTCTCATGGGAGACAGTCCTCCAACCCTTGCCACAGGCTGCAGTTTGTCATGAACTGCTCCAGCATGGGTCCCCCATGGGGTCACAAGCCCTGCAGCAAACCTACTCCAGTGTGGGCTACTTTCTCCAAGGGGTCACAGCTCCTTCCAGGAGCCTGCTCCAGTGCAGGCTTCCCACAGGGCTACAGCCTCCTTCTGGCGTTCCCCTGCTCCTGTTTTGGTCCTCCATGGGCTGCCGGTGGAGATCTGACCTACCACGGATCTCCATGGGCTGCAGGGGCACGGGCTGCCTTACCATGCATGGTCTGCACCATGGGCTACAGAGGAATCCCTGCTCTGGTGCCTGAAGCACCTTCTGCCCTCCTTCTGCACTGACTGTGGGGTCTGAAAGGTTTTTGCTCTTACATATTCTCACTCCTCTTTTCAGCTGCAGTTTCTGCTGCACAGGTTTGCTGTTTTCCTTTTTTCCTCTTAACTATGTTATCCTAGAGGCTTTTGCTGATGGCCTTGGCCAGTGGCAAGAGCTGGCTGGCATTAGCTGTGTCAGTCACAGGGGAAGCTTCTGGCAACTTCTCACTGCACTCTGTAGAGCTCCCCCTTTCCTACCCCCAAACCTTTCCATGCAAATGTAGTAAAAGGTAATAGAGCAGTTTATATGAACTCCGTAGGAAGCAAAGTACCTTAGTTAGTAGACACAATCTCTAAGTTTTAAAATCCTTTGTGATTTTTTATTCAAGACTAAATACTGCATATCTGGAAGACATGCAACTGAATTGTGTATCTGAACATTTGGCAAAAAAACTCTATGCTGGTGTTCGGATCCAAATGACAAATGACTGGCTTTATATGGGTTCAGGCTCTTTCCACTTCTTCCCTTATTTTCCAGGTGCAACATACCTGTATTGTTTTAAATTAAAATTACCACTATAAAATGGTGCAATATTTTGCAGCTAGGAGTGAGCTGTCAAATTGTTTTAACTACTTTTTAAGCAAACTAACTTTCAAATTCAACTTCATATTTTCCAATTTTGTCTCAATTACTATTTGCCCTGTGGCTTTTGTTGCTTTGTTGTTTTTTTTGTTTGTTTGTTTGTTTTGGTTTTTTTTTTTTATGTTTGTGTTTGTTTGATTTCACTTAAAATGCTGACTAGAAGTACTGGCTGTATCTGTCATTTTGAAGTCAACCTGCCAGCATACAAATAGCCTATCACCCTGTTAGCATATATTAATTAACTAAATAAAGCTGAGTATTGTAGGTGATTTGTTGTATTTCCCTTCACTCCCCTGCTCCCTGAAACATGCCATGGATTGTAAGTGATGGCACTGCTTTCAAACGAATTTGTGGCTACAGAAAAATCAATGAGTTGGTACTAAACAGTCTAACTGTGCCTGCTAAAACCTGAGTCATCTTACCTAAAATCAATTCAGAATCGCGGTCTGCTCACTTGAAGTGAAAATGATTCTCTTTATGTCCATGATAAAAGTTTTCTGGCACTCTGGCCTTGCAAAACGCACCTGAAGGAAAAGTGCTGTCCATATGCCCATTGAACTGATGTACCTTAGAATGACTCTGTGTACCAAGCACCCATCAGCATCTGCTGTTGCTTAACCCTCAACAGTCATAAATTCATCTGTGTGGGTAATCTCCAAGTATGGGGGCTCCCAGTATTGCTAGCCTTGATGACTTGGGTTCTGCTTATGCAGCAGAGACTTCAGAAATCACTGGGAACATGTCCTGGGAACATTTCCTGATTAAAAGCAGGTGCTTTTAACTCCAAGCTGTACCCTCAACTGTTTTTTTCCAGCTAGGTTGACTTCAAATTTCAGCCGAAAACCACGTTCAGCTGCCTCCATGGCACGCTTATGCTATTTCTAGCGCAACGGTTTTGAATCCCCTTCAAGCTGCTAACCCCTATTAATTTTCTGTGAAAAAATGGCAAAGAGCGAAGACCTGCTTGACAGCAACACACTTTTCACAGCAGCGCTGAAGCCTGACTCTTCAGGCGAGAGCCCGCCTACCTCACCTACTGGAACCCCTGCTATTGCCACCAGGCGGCGGAAGCCCAGGACACCCGTGGCGCTGGCGATGGAGGCAGATGTTTGGGACATGCCAGGTGCAAGCGGGTGAACACATCGCGCCCGCTCTGCCCACAGCTGAACCCAAGCAGCACGTACTGAAATCCGCTGACCAGAGAGACCTAAAAGCCGTAAAGACAACTGCCTAGACCCTCACAACGGCGCTCTTCCTTTTACCTCACGCAGAGACACCTTAACACCTCCTTCCTTCCCTTCAGCCCAAAGCCATCCACCACCGAGCGAGCGGGACGACGCGGCCAGGCATGGCCAGCCGATGGCGGAGAGAAGTGCGCATGCGCGGCATCGGAGGGCGGGGGTCGTTTCGCGGTGCGGACGGCCTATGGCCGGCGGCGGCAGGCGACGATGACCGACTACAGCGAGGAGCAGCGTAACGAGTTGGAGGCCTTGGAGTCCATCTACCCGGACTCGTTTACGGGTGAGCCGCGGTGGGGCCCGCGCCACTCTGAACCGGCATGAGGGAGGAGTGGGAGGCCCCGCCGGGCGGCAGCTGCTCCGTGCCTGCCTGGGCTACCCCCTTTGAGTGTCCACCGGGTTTTAGGTGCACGGGTCGAGTGGTCTGCGTTTTGGTTTTGCTTGCTTTCCGCTTCCCGTGCCGGTGCGAGGGGCTGCTGTGTGCGGCGCCCCAGGTGTGGCAGCCCGGCATGAGCACCCGTTCCGGTGTGCTGGCGCCGCTGCGGCTGGGGGAAGGATGCTCTTCGGAGAAGTCTTTCAAAAGATGGTGCCCTAAGTGGGATTTGGGCTTGTGTGTCGGCCGGTTTCCCTTTCTGGTAGCAGCTTCTCACAGCCGTGACGCACCTGGTGTTTTGGGGTGCTTGGGAATGGTTTTTAAGTGCCTTGCCAGTATCTGGCTTGTTCCGTTGCACATCTATAGTAGGACAAAAACGAGCCCTAATTCCCAGGTGCTTTATCGCTAAAACTTCAAGCTGATGGATATGTTTGGTCATTAGGTTTCTCAGAACTTCCTAGTCACTGTCACACAATTAGGAGTATCCACCATGCAAACTAATTCAAAGTGATTTAGGGTGCTCAACATGCAAGAATCTTAACACTGACAAAATCTGCATTTTTTTTGTTTCCTTCCTGCACTGTATCCACTGTGCATGAAGTCCCACAGTGTCTTGGTTAGCAATAACTTCATCACACAGATATTTGCCCATTGCTTTAATCTGAAAATCTTTTAGGTTCTTCAGTTTTATCTCAAAGGTATACGATTTGATCTTTGGTAGCTGGGGATGATGCATCACTGATGCTGATGTGGAAATAATATACTTTCATGTAGCTTCTGATGCTTATTCTAAGTTACTGTTTGTTCATGTAATATTCTTGTGTCTAAAAGAAGAGGGAGGAAAAAATACGGGACTAGTAGCAGTATATTAGCAATTAGGCAAAACTCAGTTAATACTGTGAGAGCATGTATACTTGAGTGGACACATGTTGTAACAGTGATACAGAGCAGTCCTTATTTGAGGATGTGGTCTGCAACCCACCATTGTGCAGTGAGGTTTCTGGTCTGAAACTTTAGATCACAGGACTTGCACTTTAAGTCTCCCTATGGAGCTGCTTGTTATCTGTCTTCTGGGTGCCTCATTCATGCAATTTCATGTAGTACATTCTTGAAGGAAAGCACTAGGTATTCACTTTTTGTTTTAAGAAGCAATTGTTACATTAAGCTGTCCTAAATATAGAAGTAGGTGCAGTCACACTGTCAAAATAGTCCAGGGTTAAGAGTGCAGTGGATCTTCATCACATATATTATTAGTGCAGTAAAGCAAACTGGCTTGGGAGCTTTCTGCAGACATTGAGTGCACTAACATAAGTTGTTTGATGGTAAGTAAGTAGATTAAACTTCCCAAAGACAACTTTCCAAACCAGAAACTTTCCGGTATCATTATATGGTGTCACTCAAAGAGCTCTCCAGACTCACACCATGTGAAAGATAACTGTTAATTAGAAAGTATTTATTAATAGAGTAAAAAGACTGTTAACACTTTATCAGGAGCTTCCTTGCTTCATTAGTCCTTGAGAAGTTCAGGTTTAATGATGTGAAGAAGTACTTGTCTGATTCAAGCAATCTCTGTCTTTTTTTTTTTTTTTCTTCAAACAGTGTTGTCAGAAAATCCAACAACTTTCACAATCACTGTGACATCTGAAGCAGGAGAAAATGGTGAAAGTAAGTTGACCATGTCTTAAATGTCTATAGGAGGGGTTTCTGTGTAAGCCTAGTTCTGTTGCCAACAATAGGTATACCTCTGCAAGCACTCAGAAAATTTAGTTCAAGGATTCCAGCAGTCTGTGTTTAGTTTACAGAAAGGTTGTGCTCTCTCATTAGGGCTGCTTTCTGACATGCTGAATCTCAAATATTTTGTAAAGCTTCGTAAAGTATGGGTTGTCATCATCCACACAGTAGCTTACAGCCATGTTGTGAGGTGAGGGTTTTTTTTTTTAGCAACAGTATGTATATCAGCTACATTGAAGAGTTGAGTCATTGTCCTGTAAATATGCAGACCTTAAGGAAAAGTTCCTTAAGGGAACTTAGTTCTCTTTTGCCTTGTTTCCGTGTTATCCTGGCTTTGGGAGTCTTCAGATTGTGTTCTCTTTAGGCAGTTCTCTGCTTAATAACTTACGCTGGACGTTGTTCTTGTCATATAATTCATGTGGAGCCCTGGTTCTCAACACAGAGGTTTATAGTCCAGTCAGGCACACAGAATTTAAAGAATTAATATGTTGAGATTCTCTCCACATCTCTTATTAGGACTCTTCCTTGTTTTCTCCAGCTTTTAAGTGGAATATGAGGGTAGAAAAAAGATTACTGCTCTAGTATTTACCTTACCACTGAAGGTTTTGCAGTCTTCAGAAAGACTTTTCAGACGTTAACAGTCTGTAATAGCTTTATAAGGGTAAACTTTGTCATAATTTCTCAGAACTCTTGCATTATGTTTGAACTGTTCATATAGCTTTAACATATCTGTAAAAGGATTGTTCCTTTAAGACGGGTATTTTACATTTAAAAACATTTAAGCTGCTAATGCAGTAGCAAAATACAAAGTTATATAGAGTTATCACCTTAAGAATGTGGGTTTTTTTATTTTGTAGCTGTCCAAACAACCCTTAAATTTACCTATAGAGAGAAATACCCTGATGAAACTCCGCTTTATGAAATAGTCTCACAGGAGAATCTTGACGATAATGATGTCACGGACATAATAAAACTACTAGAGCAGCAGGTAAGGAAAATGGAATATCTCAATTCAGCTTGGCATCATTGAAAACTTTAGCCTGAATTTCTCTACAAATTATTTGTTTCCTGAGGTATGCGCTATTGATTTGAAACCTGTTCCTTACTGTAGGGACTAACTTTGAGGTTTGAGCCCGGTGAATGACATTATTGAGGTAAATTATTTTAAACGGTAATATATAGGGCTAATTCAGTGTCTATAGGTGTGATAATGAAATGAAAATTCTCTTAGGTTTTCCCTCTTCTGCACTTCTAGCTTAAGGTGAACTTGTTTAACTGAGTATATATATATATATATATTTGTATTAACAAGCCGCTATAATTTTATTTGGAAAGATTAAAAAATGCCAAATTGGAATCTTGATTCTTTTCAATAACATAATTATTCGGGGGAACTCTTCTGCCTTTGAGATCAATGAGAGTACATTGTGAAGGAATGAGAAGGAAACACTTATTTGGTTTCAGTAATCCTTGACAAGTCATCCCTGCATTAAAATTTCCATAGTATGTTCAGTAAGCATTCTTTCTTTACGGTTTAATTCTTATGACCTTCCTTCGATCAGGTGATGTTTTGTTTTTTTTGTTGTTTTTTTGTTTGGTTGGTTGGTTGGTTGGTTTTTTTTGTTTTGTTTGTTTGTTGGTTTTTTTTATGGGTAACTGTCCTGCTTCAAAGGGTCATATAATGGTATTAAGGAATAAATAAGCTATTGCAGGGGAGGAGAGGTTCTGAGTGGCTGTTGAGTCTTACGATTTATCAAATCTTGAAGCTGTATTCTCACTATGGGTTTTGCTTTATTAGTGGAAAGGTGTTCCAGATGTCTATAATATGTTTTCAACATATTATAGACAGGTGTTCATCATTGGTGTTTTACTTCATACCCATCTGGGGGTGACTTTAACTGGAGTAACTGACTAATTGACTTAAGTTTTACAGCAGGCTTTGAAGGATGGTGCTGAGTGTCTTAGCTTTGTTGTCTGCATTTGCACAGCATACTGCTTTCTAAACATGCATTCAACTGCTGAAGGTTTGAGGTTCTATTTGAAGTTGCCTTCTTTGTGTTGTAGGTAGAAGAAAATTTAGGAATGGTAATGATCTTCACTCTAGTCTCAGCAGTACAGGAGAAATTAAATGAAATAGTGGATCAAATAAAAACACGAAGAGAAGAGGAAAAGAAACAGAAAGAAAGAGAAGCAGAAGAAGAAGAGAAAGTATGTAAAGTAATGTTTTCAACTAAAAATTTCCTGCTTTTTTTGAATGTGGGTTTTGATGCAGGAGCAGTTTTCAATTGCAGTGGGAGAGGAACGTCAATCAAAGTTTATATAATTAAAACTGAAGGACTAAAAGATTCTTTAGTGCACTTAAGTTATTCCTTCTCCCCCATTTTCTAAAGCAGTCTTTTTGGAGATGTACTGAATGTCCACAATTCCTTTTAGCATTACTCTGTAAGGCAGGGGCAGGGATTTTTCACAAATGAAATCAAAGTTGCTGTCGCCAGTTTTTTGAATAGGCTTGAGGAGCAATAAAAGATAGAATATGGCATGCTGCACACAGGCAGCATGGCCTGAGGAAGTCTCTCTTTCTTGGTAGACTGAGTGGGCAGGGTGGAAGTGGGACCAGTTTGTCCTCCTTATGCGTCCTTTCTACCAGCCACTGTGGAATAGTTTTTCCATTCATGGAATGTGCTGTGGTAAGACTAGCTGCTGAGTCTTCACTTTCTTCCTCAGAAATAGCTAGAGGGTGGTGGGACTTGGAAAGTTCAGTATTTCTGAAAATGACAGAAAAATAGCTGGAAAAAAAAAATGCTCCTTTCTGTTTCAACAACACAGAAGGGGTAACGTATTTTAATGGAAAGTATTTCAGTGTAAATTGCAGTGAAGAGCTGGTAAGAAATGCTGCTTATGGGTAATCTGTATTAGTGGTATGTTGCTAACTGTGGCGATAGGTCCAAAAGTAGTACGTGGGTTTTTTCCGTGAGAATTTGTACCTCAGTGCAGCTCTCTGAAGGGAGGGTCCGAGGACAGAAACCAACAAGAATGTATTCTTTGTGTATTCTCAGGGTTAGGATTAATTTCTCAGAATACTTCACAGCAAGCAGTGCTTCTGGAGTGTTGTAATTTAAATAATTAAGAGAATGCTCATCTTCTTTCACAGCTTTGCAAATTGCGTTTGCAGCCTTGTTTTCTGTTTGGTTTATTTTTCAGCAACGTTTTCACGGCACTCCTGTTACCATTGAGAATTTCCTAAACTGGAAAGCAAAGTTTGATGCAGAACTCCTAGAAATAAAAAGGAAAAAAATGAAAGAAGAGGAACAAGCAGGCAAAAATAAATTAAGCGGTATGATTTTTAACTGTTCCTGAAACTGAACTGTCCAGGTCGGACGGAGCCTTGGGTGACATGGTTTAGTGGGAGATGTTCCTGCCCATGGCAGGGGTGTTGGAACTAGATGATCTTAAGGTCCTTTCCAGCCCTAACTGTTCTATGGTTCTATGAACTTTTTGCCATGTTACTGGACTAGAGTGACAAGCCTACAAGTAATTTTTACATAGAAAGATGGTGGTAGTAAATAAACAATGCAATATTTTATTCTTGTCCCACATGTCACATTAAGCCTTTCTAAGAGCTGGTTTTGGGCTAAATAAAAAGTTAATAGATAACAGGATTTCTGCTGAACTCATTACGGTTCCCAAAGTATGTTTAAGCTGCTTTGGTTTTGTTCCAGACAGAGCGTACCACTTAGAGCTGCTACCGACAAACTTTGTTCTGGCAGAAATATCTGGGGTTTGTTAAGCAACAGGAAGAATCTGCATCAGTTTAGTGACTTGGCCTTTATTGCACTGAACTGTACAGTGACTGCAGAACATTCAGGTGAATCTAATAGTTAGGGATGCTGTTGCTGGACTGAAGCAACACAGAGGCTGGCTGCTGCATGTGACAAGCTTACGGTGGCTCTGATATTTGGAGAATAATATAGCAGTTGTTTCAGGCTTTGTGTTTTGGTGATCACCGTTTGTCCAGCAGAAAGCAAACGCTGTAGATAGTGGGGAAAAATGTGGAGGAAATTATCTTTATTAGGAGAACCTCTAGGTAAGAATTAAATCTTGGGCATCTTCCTCCATGCTCTCCACAGCTTAGCTTTGGACTAGTTCTCCTGCGATGTTGCGTTTACTTTTTTAACCTGATGGCTGTTGTCCTCATGCTCTGTCACCTACCTTTTGTCCTCCCTTCTGAAAACTGAATCTTCTGGCTAATTTTGATGAAATTTGACAGATGTAATTTAATGGTAGCAAGTTTAATGAAAAGCTGTACAAGGCAGGGGACATGCCTGATTCCCCTTTGAAGGGAGTATGTTTGGGAATTTGCAGAGATGCGATAGTAGAAATCGGGGGGTCCAGTTTTCCTGGTCCTAAAAATATTGTTAGTGTGCTGTGCCTGTTTTCCTCTGTACAAGCCGAGCTTATTGAAGCTCCCCTTTACAAAACTAAAACAAGGCTTATTCTTAGATGCCAAGAGCACAACCCCAGTAGACATTAAAGATGTCTTAAAAGTTTTACTATGAACACTAGGCAGTCTGGTTGGCAGAAGACTGCATAAGCCATGCAAATATAGCTCGAAGATGAGTGGTTTATATAGAAAGAGTCCTGAGCTTTTCTTTCCCTACATCTAATTAGAAATGCTTGCTTTGTGTGATGTTTCCTTCACAGATGTGTGTGTAGGAGCTCATGTCTTGTTTGCACATCCAGGTTGTTTGTTGAATGGGGAGGATGTATGGACAAAGATGGAGGCAGCAAATTTCCTTTCCAGTTCCCACAGAATCTTCCTTGTGGAATCAAGATGAGGATTAAAGCAGTAAGGACTGAGTACAGGTTGTAAGGCAGTACCCTCTCCAATCCCACTTATTAAAGCCTTAGTAACATTAAAGTGACTAAGAAACTGACCCATTTCACATGTAGGAGGAGAAGCCTTTTGGCATGAAAGAATCCTGGATGAATAGTCAAAATATCAGAATGGCGAATTTACAGAAATGAGCAGCTTAAAAAAAAAAAAAAAAAATAAAAACCCGACTGCTTGTATTGGTAAGGTTAAAAAGCCTAAAATATATATGCTAACTATTGTTGCCTTAGTTGATAGTTATTTCAGAATTTAACTTGCTTATATATTGTCTTTTATTTCTAGGTAAACAGCTGTTTGAAATGGATCACAACCTTGACACTTCTGACATCCAGTTTTTGGAGGAAGGTAAATTTCTGTTTGTTTCCACAACTGAAAGACAGTGGCTTAAAAGAGGTCAAAATTCCTAAGCAAAATCTTTATTTTTGACTTAACATCTTACTTCAGTATCACTTTTACTTGGGAACAACTTCCTAAGAAGTAGTTTTGCAGATTGAACAGACATGATTTTAACTTCTTTCAAAAAAAAAACCATTTTCAAGATGCTAAAATGTATTCATTTGTGGTTTTGAGCTTTAGTTGATCTTATTTCTGTTGCTTCTGTTCAAGTATTTAGACTGGAAGCAAAATCAAAAATAAGCAAAACAAATCAAAGTAAAATAAACCACAACCAAACTGTGCTTTTTCTCTTTTTCCTAGTAGCCAGTCTTCTTACCCTAATTCTTAAGCACAGATCTTAAAGTTCTGTCTCCTGCCCTCTGAACTTTCACACCAATAGTAAACATCTTGCTGGTCAGTTTGCCTCTGTGCAACCCAGTTCTTCTTCATGCAGATTTGTCTTACTATCTTACTGTGAATACCTGCTCTGGTGCCAGCTGAAAATTTTGTAAGCCTGTGCCAGAAGATGTTAAACTTGGAAAATCTGTTGGAGATAAATAAATCTATATGCAGTCACGTATCTGTTTAATTTTCTGTACTGAATCTTAGTTATCTTAGTTTAAAAGTCTGATTATTTTTTTTTTGCTTAAGAGAATTCTTTAATGTAGCTGCATTATGTAATGCCGAAGAGAGTCAAGAATTTTCTGTGCAGGTAGCTTCTTTTTTATAAGAAGTTGTTTATGAACATCAGACATCAGTGAGTAAAAAGTTGAAATGGCAGTAATGGGGGAGTCGAGTTTCTTCCAGTTAGAGAGCATAACTTAACCTTGTCTTCCTTCAAAACACATAAAGTGAAGAAGGGTTGTTGATCTAACATTTGGTTGTCACAAGGGAGGAACAGACCCTTATTTGGGCTCTTTGTCCAAATGTCTTGAGGTTAATGTGCTAACTTTCAATCCTGTTGCTATATGTGACTAAAGCTCCTGTCTTTATTGCTGTTTGCATTCTATCATAAATGCAACAGTTTACTAACTGCAATATAATATTATGGTACCATGTAATAAGTAATACTGATTTTCACGTCTTAAATAGGATAATGGCATTATCTTTTAGATAGAAACAGTTACAAAGGCTCTTTCAAATCCAGTGGAAAAAATAGATACTTACCCAGTGGCCAGAAGATGTCGCTGCTAATGCACACAAATAAAACAGCGGTAGTTCTCAATTTTTATCCTTAGGTTAGCATCATCTCTTTCAGAAGACAATGTGCAAGCATGCAAAGCTTCACCTTGCTTTTAAAATTTAAATCTGAAAGCAAATGTATGTGTGTAGGCATATAAATGGTGTGCATGGTTTGGGTTTTTTATAAACCCTATGTGTTCTTGTGGCTGATAGTTGTACCTGTTCCAGCTGTGAGGTCCTGAGCTCCTACTTTGACAGTACCTGGGAGAAAGGACCTCTGCTTCTGGGAACTGTAATTGTTAATTTCATTCTTCCAGTAGATTCTAAGGTCCTGTGTGATGTTTCTCTTGTCTGGGTTTTAGTATGAGGAAAAAAGCTGTGCCTTAGCTGTAGAGATAAAATGTGCTGCTTCCTTTTCTATATCCATTTGATATATAAAAGCCCAAGTAAGTTAACAGTTACTGACATTGCAGTCTGAGTATGAAAAAACTGTTGTGTATTTTGTTGTTGAGGTACTGTTTTCCTACTTGCATTAAAATAAATTATTTTTCTGTTCTTTGCAGCTGGAAACAGCGTGGAGGTTGATGAATCTTTATTCCAAGAAATGGATGATCTAGAACTGGAGGATGAAGAGGATGACCCTGACTACAACCCTGTTAATTTAGATAGCGATTAGACTTTTCTGAACTGGCTCTGTCATCAGTATGGACATATGTAAGGAGAGAGGGGCAGGCAGGAAAACCACAGCATCTGTGGATTTAGTAATGTGTATCAGTTTTCTTTTGGTTTACTTTTTTTCAAAAAAAAAAATTTTAAAGTCAGAAGAATGGTCTTCTGATGACTCTCATCGTAAATAAATTTATAGTAATATTTCAAATGAGAACTTTGAGGGACATTGACCTCTCTGAAAATGCTATTCTATTTTCTCATATCTTTTCCTTCCCACTTCTGTAATTATCCTTTGAAGAGATTTGACAACAAGCAAGATAGAAAGATGTTATAGCAAGCACTAAACACACCTGCATCTGAAGGCTTGAGCAGCTGTTCTGCTGTCTTCCACCCTGGGATGTACATGGACAGCTTTGAGGAATAAAAGGGATTGCATACTATGCAGTTATTTTTCTTTTTTTTTATTTTTTTTTCTATGAAATTTTATAAAACTTAAGTAAGTTCTGGTGCCCTCACCTATCAGCTGTAGCTAGGCAGCAGTAGTCACTATTGAATAGCCTTTAAAATTTAATGGAAACTATTTCCATACTACTAAAGTAAAACTTTTTGCCATAGTTGAGAATAATAGTTTCAAAATGTTTAAGTTTAAAATGCTAACTTTAAGTCTGTAGGAAAAAAACAAAACAAAACAACAGAATGAGATTAAGTCCTCTTACCGGGATTTTTGAATTTGTGCATCAGTGAACTTCATGGTGGGGGGAAATGCCTTAGGAATGTTGGATTTGCTTTTGGTAACAGACTGTTAAAATACCCATTAGTGGAGTGCAAATTATGGTACCACGACTGATGGAGTGCTTATAGATTTGAATGTAATGGATGTTTTAAAAGCATCTTGTTGTGCTAACCTTTACAGGTTGCCAGTGTACAGTAAGCGTACTAAACAATTCAGCAATGTTAACCATCCTACTGAATTGCTTATGGAGCTACTAGCTTGGTGTTAGACTCCTCCTCCCATCCCACGTCCGAAAAACCCCCCAAACACTGCGAGAATTGTGTGTTTAAATGCTGTGTTTGAGGCTGCATCAGCTAGAAGGATTATGGCATGGATGAGGGTTTCAGAAGACAGGTTTCCATACAGAGAATGACCAGGCACCTCAAGGATTAAACACTGTGTGCTGAATTTAAAATACTGTTTGTAGACTGCCTTAACTATGCCAGCTTCAACCATTGAAGAGGATTGCACTAAAGTATCACAGTGCTTAGGGAAATAATAAATTTATGAACTTTAATATTTGGAAATTCCATATTTAAAACAAGAAATATAATTCTGGAAATAATGGTGTATACGATCCTCTGCTCAAATAGCTGGAGAACACCTGCTTCGGATGATCTTCAACGTGTTTCAGTAGTCTTTTCTCTTTGTATTCTAGTAGAGAGAAATAAATGTTAAAGTACCCTGTAAATACTTTTATAAATTAACCATGTGCCTTTGTTCCTACTGTCCTCTATTTGATCTTTTTAATTTTGGCTATAAAGAACTCTAGACAAGTATCTAGATTTCAGTGATAATGAATGTTTCAAAGCAATAAGCAGGATCTGTGTTCCAGCAGAGTTACCAAATATATTAAAATGTGAACTAATGTGGTATTAAATCTGACTTTTCCAAAGATATAGTTGATTTGAAAGCTTCGTAGTGACTACATCCAGCTTCCTGTGTAATTGCTAGAATGCTTTAAAATGCTCTTCAGCACTGAAATTAATTTACTTCTGGTATGTCTCAATTCAGCTGCATAAAAAACATTCAGCTCCCAAGGCTGCTTTCCATTTTCAGCTATGTATGCTTAAAACTGGCATTTTTTTATACAAAGGGTAAACTGGGTCTCTTTATATCTGGACTGAATCCAAGAATGCTGTGTAATCTGTGCAAAATGCGATAATCTGAGAATATTTTTTGAGTGGGTCACGGACAAGAATCATCTATTTATGAAAGAAATTTTCTTGTTAATGGTATTTCTAGATTAATGAGATTTTTCTAGTCTGTTTTCACACTAACATATTTATTGAGTTTCATGCAGAGGATGTATAGCTTAAAACTGTTAAAATTATGTCAAACAAGTTAAAATCTGAAACTGTGTTTTAACTGTTACATCTTGTATTTCAAAGCAGAGGAAATAAGAAGGGTTGAAGTGACAAGAAAGATAAAAATGGGTAAACTCCATTCCTCCAAGTCTTTGGAACAAGTTTCAATGACTGAATCTGAACTTCAGATTTGTTTAGCTTTGTTAGCAATTAACATCTGAAATAAAAGTGAATTTGACTGAGAGCAAGCTTGGCTATATTTGCGTGTTTTCGTTTGGTGGAAGAAGTTTAGGTGAAGTATGTAAAGTTTACTCATGCACTTGGGATTAAAGTCAAATTCGTATTAACAAAATTACATTGATAATCTTTGAATTCTAGTAATTCAAAATCATGGTGCTGACAACTTTGCTTTTATCTTGCTTTTAACTCCCTGAGTCCAAAGCATACGCTAGGGAGACTGTTTGAGTTGCGACACTGCACTACGAGCAAAGCTTAGTTTATGATCGTGCTGAACTTTTGAATAATCTGTGCCTGAGCTCTATTAAAATCCATGTCAAGATGCTGTAGGAATACAGTATCAGGCATGCTGCAAAGCCTAGGATTTTACATCCAAATTAAGATTGCATTATGATCTGCTTTAAAGCAAAGAAAACCTAAGGGTTATGTGCCCGATTTTGCTTTTTCCTTCCCTTCAGGTCTCTGGTCCCCTTGTGGGAAGTTGATCAGTTAACCAAATATTCAGGATCTTGGGAACAGATCCAAACAGGATCCTATTGTCTCTCTGACGGATTATGAAAAGTTCAGCTTCTGTGAACCCAGTCTGACAAGAGGCAACAGCTAATTTAGTTAGCATCAAGTCTAAATGCATTCTCTCTCAGGGCACTTTTGGTAGCAATAGAATTGAAGTCCTGGGTCTCCTTCAGGTTATTTTGGTGTTTCACTACCCTACTGCTTTCTTTCCAGTGGTGCCCATGTAATGTTTGAAAGCTACCCCACTACCCTGTGCCAGCTGCAATGCCCTAAAAGGGCTATTGCTTGTTATACCATGAGTACCTTGGGTGTTTGGACCTTTACATGGCATTCCTGGGGTCAAGCTGAAAGAAGTGAGACACCAGAACTTGACCTTTATAAATGTGTAATTAGGCCTGTGTTGCTCTGACACTCCCAAAGCACTTGTTAAGCAAAAACCCCAAACCACCAAAACAAAACAACCCACCAGTCAACCACAAAACATAAAAAGGGAAAAACCAAACACAATAAAATTTATTAGGATTTTGGCATAAAGTCATGCTTACACAAAGAACCAAGTATCTCATGGTTGGTGTCAGTCCAGTAGGTGCCAGGAATTGCCATCAAAACAACCCTTGTAATGGCATCTTCAGCTGGATCAAACGAGACTTTCACTCTCCTGCTCACAATCTACCTGCTCTGCGGTGATTACATAGGAATCAAACAGCATGTACAAGCCAGTACAAAGAGATTATTTCAAATTTGGCACATTATAGCATTTAACTGAAACACTGGCTAAGTCCCAATGGCAGGCTGAACACAGCGAAGTGCTGAAATGAAGAGCTGGTGCTGAGCTACAATTCCTGCTTCTTAAGGCTTAAGTATCTGGGCACAGTGTCAGATTAGTAAAGACCATGCTTGGTCTGGAATTAGCAGAGCCTTAGCCAGGAACAGACCCAGCCCCAGTCACAGGGGAGGTGAAGGAACAGTACAGAGAAGACTGAAGTCTATCTGCAAGACTAAATGATCACATAGCTGCCAAACTTGACATGGCCTAAGAACATACGCACATAGAGCAGGGCTAATATGGCAGCTAATGGTCCCCCAGTTCCCAGAAACTATATTCCTCGTCTCAGCTCCTCTAGTGTCCTGAATATTTAACTCTTTCACAGGTTAAAGGCCACTTTTACATATCTACTGAAATTAATCCATTTTCATAGTTTGTATTTTTTACTTTCATGCATGTTTCAGAAAACTTGCTGATTTATGGGCTGTAATACCTTTATATGTTCATGTGTTTCATACTTCCAAAAACTACTGGTTCTTATTGCCAGAGTATATTAAACATGACAGAAGCAGGTTAAATGGTAAGACTCCTACACATACACCTAGATGTTAACATGCAAGAGTCTAAATGAAAAGGTAAGTATATAAGCTCTAGTTACAGTAAACAGATGCTATGGCACAATTCAGTTGCTTACACGAAGGCATCCTTGTGCTATATGCAACAGACTCAACCATCTTTCCCAGCCTCCAGCTGCCCTGCTGGCAAGGGATGATGCTTACATTCTGCCAGAGCAGCATGTCTTAGATATAGCAAGGTGCCTCAAATGCCCAAGATACTTGTTTCAGCAGGTAGCTGCAATCTCTTAAATAGCATTAACCCTGCACAACGAAGACCCTACTTGACAATCAGTTCACACATCCTTTTGAGATGTCTCTTGAGACCTAGGGTGATGTACATTATAAAACATACACAAAAACAGAAATTAAAAAAGGATACTATACCCCACTATATCCCAGCAGATTGTCTTGTGCAGCCCCTACAGCACATGTACCCCATGTTTTGGACACCACTACCTTAGACCTCACAGCCAATGCTAACACTGATCCACCCCATAAGCACACATTCATGTTCACATGTGACACACGTATGTAGAGGAATCAGCTAACTAACTGGAAAGAAGTTCAGTAGCAAACTAATCCTTTGTGGAACGTACTGTATTGTGAAATCTCTAAACTGTCTCTGTACTTGCAAATAGCTGCAGGAGAATTTGCTGAGGCATAACAGGTATTTGTTGATCAAATTTGGTAAGAAATAGAGCACTGGCCACAGAGGCAGCATAAATGTATTTACAGAGGTAAACCATGACCTAGCACTCCAATAAAGTAGTTCCACAGTATCTATCCACTGCTTACTGGCAGTTACCTGTGGTGCATAGTTTGCTATGGAATGGTAGGTGTTGCTTGGTAAATTAAGCAACAAAGAAAATACCAAATTTTCTTTTAAGACAAGCACTGTAATACTTAAGAGTTACAGAGTCATCAAGAGGGCAGAGCTTTTACTGTAGGTCAAAACAACAGATCTACTCCAGTGCTGTGCTTCTCCAGAGCCCTCAGACATTTATGGAGACATAGTTTAAGTCTAAAATCATGGAGATAGGGTGACAGTCCAAAAGTTTTATGTTTTGCATCCAGCAAATTGCAGAAAAATTGCAGAAACAGGTAATAAAGGCATCCTTCAAGGAATCTTCTCTGATGTTAAGACCTGAGAAGCATGGCAGCGGGCCTAAAAAAAAAGGAAGAAAGAGAATAGTTTAATGAGTGGAAATACCACTTTAAAGAACATTTTCCAAATTA